CCCGGAAAGAACGCTTGGATGACAAGGTCTCCCACCAGGTAGGTGGTTGCCCTCCTTGGCGTGTCCGGTGACTTGATATCTAAGAACCTTCGTTTACCGATCCCTTCATCGAGGCAGCTTGAGTTTCTGGGATCGGACCCACCTGGCGCTGAAGCTCAGCCCCGACCCTGAAGCGGCTGTGGACGAAGAGAGAGGTTCTCTGAAGGGTCAGCGCACTTGCCCACCCACGTCCACACTCACCCGAGAAGTCTGCTGAGTGAGCTCCATGCCATACCTGACAAGAAAGTCCCTGTCCCCCTGACCCACCCTTGCTGGAAGCTTGCATGGGATGGACAACTGAATTTAGGGTTTTAAAAAGAAGACTCAGAGTCCTGGCTGGCGTAGCTCAGTGGATTGAGTGCGGGCCTGCGAACCAAAGGGTCGCGGTTCGATTCCCAGTCAGGGCACATGCCTGGGTTGCAGGCCACGGCCCCCAGCAACCGCACATTGATGTTTCTCTCTCCCTCTCTCTCTCCTTCCCTTCCCCTCTCTCTAAAACTAAGTAAATAAACTCTTTAAAAATAAATAAATAAAATAATACAATAAAATAAAAAGAAGACTCAGTTCTCAGGAGAGTCTCAGAGACTCCGGTCGCTATAAAATCTTATAGACTATGTCTTTACCCCCCATAGCTCCTCTGCCCTCCGGCTTCCTTACGCCCTCGCCGCCACGCCATCTGTTAGTTTGAATGGTTAGGACCGACTATCAGAACAGTTGAAAAAGGAGGAAATTAAGCACCCTTTAAAAAAATATTTTTCAATAACATCTTCTGTCTCTCGCCCTCATGCGTTATTGACCGGAAGATTCTCCAAAAACAAAGAGGACAAAGAATCGGTTCTAACATCTTACTTCAGCCCCTGCATACAAGTATTCCTGACTTTTTTTTTTAATGTTACTGATTCCAGTCGGCCCATAAGGACCAGGGCCGAGGGTTTTCCCTGCCTTTTGATTAGAAAGTCTTCCCCTGGCCCTGAAGGTCATTCTGTTTCTTTGATGGATTTCAGTACGTTCCCCCAAGTTACAGCCTCTCAGGTCACCCCAGACAGATCACCCCATCACTGTCCGGCCGTAGGAAGCAGGTCCAGCCCCTCCCTGCCCCGCAAAACATACGCACTTGCGTGTACTCACACGCACACGCACGCGCGAGTGCACGTGCACGCAGACACAGGAGGTCAGCTCCCACACTGAGAGGTCAGCTCTGATCTCTCCACCCAGGGCCTGCCGGATCAAAGCAGACCAGAGAGCTGTTTGTAAAGGGGGACGACCGAGGGCCACCTGTCAGTCCCTTTGAAGTCGCGGCACTTTGTCCTCGAACACCCAGCGCTCCCGGAGTGCCTGTCACTCCGCTGTGAAATATCGGCCGTGGCCAGTGGCAGCGGTGGCAATAAAACCCCCGAACCTCTTTGGTTTCCATTCAGTATTGACCTTCATGCACTTGGCCACCCTCCAGAGCCACGGCGTCCCCTGTGACCTGCCCACCGGGCTTTCTGGTCTCCCCACCAGCCACCCCGTCCTCTGACACTTCAGTTAGGGGCAGGGCTGATGGATGCTCCCTGGGCCGACGCTCAGGCCACCCCCACAGGGTCCCACCCGCCCTTGGTGGGCACCCTCTGCGTTCTCCCTAACTGCAGGGGAGGGAGCCCTTTGAAAACGGGCTCCAGGGACCCACCCCCCCCAACTCTGTGCTCAAATAATGAGCATGAAAGTGAGACACTGGCCACCACTCCAGCTGTTGCTGCAAAGTTACTGCCTGTGGGGGGGTCGGGTGGTGGGGGGCTACGTTCCCAGGGGGAATTTGAACCGTGAGTGGCCTCTCGCGTCTTAGCTCCACATTCGGACTGTTTCTGGTGCTGATTTTTTTGTTTGTTTGTTTGGGTCCAGTTGTACCCACCGATCATGGGCGCCCCCCTGTTCGTGCTTAGGATGTTGGTGTCTAAGCCGACCTTGGGGTGAGATGTGGAGTGACTCCCAGCGTGGAGTCCATCAGTCCCTGTGGGAGGGGGCGGGGCCACGCCCGGGGCGGGGAGGGGCGGGGAGAAGCGGCTTCGAAGGGAGGAACGGGTGGAAAGGACAATGGAATCAGAGGCTTTCCCACCGGGTGCCCAGGAGCACACCGGGCATTCACTCCCGCTGGGGGATGTGCGGAAAGGGCCCCCTTGGGCAGAGTACAGGGGACCTGGCGGTCCTTGCTTGGGGCTGACACAGCCCCATCCCAAAGCGCAAGGCCAGACAAACTGGGTGGTGGCTGGACGTCGGCCCCTAAGGACACAGCCCGCCCGGTCCAGCCTGCCACGGGGCCTTCTTCCGAAAAGCAGCTGCCGTGCCCCAGAGCCCAGCGCACCTGTCTCGGGACGGAGGCTGTTGGGACCCCTCAGACAACGCTTCCCTCTGGTGTGGACCGGCGCCTGCTGCTGGGGTGCCAAGGGCTTCTGATTTCACGATCATGGCTCGATCTGAGCTTACAATGCACCTTTCCTAACAAAGCTGCACACAGTAGGGGCACAGACGATGTGCATCGCTGTCCCTTGAATGTCCAGGTGTACCCTTCTCACTCAGAAACATATCTGGGGCCACTCCTGTCAGTCACAAACAGGAGGAGGTTGTAAAACCGCCGGAGCAGTGGAGTCGTCGCCCCCCACAAAGATGGGCTCAAGACAAAAGATAGAGTGCCACGCCACCTGTGAGCCTGGCCTCGGAAGGAGGGTCTTCGCCAACGTCCTTACGTGAAGGACCTCAAGATAAGACGGCCCTGGACTTGGGGCGGGCCCTAAGCCCAAGGACACGTCTCCTCAGAAAGATGGAGGGAGACTGGACCCACAGGGACACGGAGGAGAGGCCACGCGAGGCCGGAAGCCGAGGCTGGGGGCGCAGCCACAAGCCAAGGAGCGCTGGAGCCGCCAGAGGCTGGAGGAGGCAGGAAGGAGGCTCACCTTTGGAAGGAGAACTGTGAGAGAAGAGACGTGGTTGTTCTAAGCCCCCAAGCCTCCGGCGATTTCTTCAGCAGCTCCAGGAAGTTGGCCCAGTGGTACTCAAAGAGCGACAGTGGTTTCAATGGCTTCCCACACCCTCCACGGACACCAGCGCACACCAGCCACCTGGACTCAGTCTACCCTCCCCCGACTCTCCGTCTCACCCCTGACCTTTCCTCGCCACTCCCCAGTCCGGACAGCCTCAGTTCTACTCTCGCTGCATCCGAATTCCCAGGAAAAGCCCTATCTCTCCCCGCAAAAAACCTCCCCCTCCGGGTCCCTCTCTTACTTAACACTGACCTTGTCCTTCGCTAGACAACGGAGACCCCTATGACCACGTGTCCCCCCCTCATTCGGCGCTCAGCACAGGCCCATGTGTATGCTCATTACGCTCAGTAGGTAGCCACAGCCAACACCCGCCTGCTTTAGGGTCTGCAAAGCACTCGCCGCGCACGGGAGCTCACTTGACTTTGACATTGGCCATTGGGTGAGTAAGGCCTACATCGAAGCCTAGCCACACAGACAGGCCATTCCGAGGAGGAAGCCAACTGACCCACCAGTGTCATTCCATCGCGATCCAAGCCAAGGGTGCCTGTCCTCCCCCTGCACGTGTATCTGGGGCACAGCCTGTCTGTCTCTCCCCTCCTTCCTCTCTCCCTCCGGCGCACAGCTTGAGCCTCGGGACTGTAAACACGGGGGCCGGGGCAAATCCCCGGAGCAGCCTGGCTCGGCCTCTTTAAGGCGCTCGGGAGAGAGCCGCTGGGAAAACTCTGACTGTGGGTTCTACTGGGGGGCGGTGGGTGTCACCCAAACCACCCCAGCGGGCAATTCCATGGTCTGTGTCTATCTGGGAAGGAGGAGCGGGGCGGAGGGGAAGATGAGGACCACGGACAATGGAGAAAGAGCTCAGTCGGGTTGCCTGACCGTACTTCTCCCCTCCCACCCCCTCCCACCCCACCCCAGCCTCTCCTGCGCCATCTTAACGCTCCCCACTCCACAAACCCAACTCGGCTCATTCCACACGTGGCCATCCAGTTGAGCAAATGCCTACCTTCTTTCAATTCTCACGGAGAAACTAATCTTTGTCCTTAAACCTGCCAGGAAGGGCTTTGGGGGTTGGGGGCTGGGGGTTCGGAGTGGAGGGGGGAGCCTGGGAAAGTGCCGTCTGCCTGTAGGGGGCGCTGGAGCTACACAAAGGTGGAGGAGGACGTGTCCCCAGGGAGCAAACCCTCACCCATCATACAGAGCCCCGGGTCGGCCTCCCAGCCAAACAGGCAACAATCAGCCACAAAAGGACGGTGATTCAGTCACCGCTGGCCAGAGGGGTCCCCGCAGACTCTGCACAGGGGGTCTCCATTTTCCCCCCATCAGCACCCCGCAAGCAAGGCCGAGACGCGGCTCATTACCGCTGGGGAGAGGGGAGAAAGGGAGGGGCAGCTGAGGCCCAGAGAAGTTAAGCAGTTTGCGCTGGTTGCCCAGTGAGCGCAACTTAAAATAGCCCGTGTTCCAGGAAGCAGTCTCCATTAGTTCACCCTTTATTTATTTCCGAGCATGGAGAGGGGCTCTCGCCGCCTCGCAGGGAAGCAATGTTCCCTGCCGCTCACACACATAATGACCACTTACGTTTCTGCTTCATGCGGGCGCTCCAGCCCATCCGCTGACCTACTTCAGCCTCACGACGGCTCCGCGGAAAGAATCGAGCGACCTTTTCTAAAGGGGCGGGGAGGTAGAGGCACCCAGAGTGCTGACTCACGCTTCCCGGGTCCCGCCGGGAACCGGCGCCTGGGACACGGGGCCGGTGCGCGAGGATGCCCGCCCACTCCCCGTGACCGGGTCCTCAGTGAACCTCACTGGGCACTCTCACCCAGGACCCCGCGCCCTAATTTAGTGTCACGCCGACCGTCCCGCAGATGTCTCCTGCTCAACCTACACCGCTCGCAGCCCGGGGCCTTTTCATGCCCCGTCAGGACTCACATCTGAAGAGAGCGTTACCTGCCGTTTCCGAGGCAGGCTGTCCAAGGGGCCTGCGTGGGTCCGGCCCCTCGAGTGGGGGAGGGTGGCAGTCTTTTCTCAGCACCCACAGTGGCTTGCGTAGCCTCCTAGCTCTGAGCTGCACACGGCCCTGCAGGAAGCTCCCTCTGTACCTGTGGGACAGAGAAACACATGTGCAGTGACCAACCTTGGGAGCAGGCGTCCAGGAGCTCATACGCAGAAAACCCCCAAATGGTGATACTCAGACAGTCAAACCCACAGCCCTGGGGCGCCTGGGAGAATGCAGACGCTTGATCTCTAAGTGGTTCGTGAGGTCTTAGGAATGCTTCGTTCCTCTTCTCCTCATCTTTCTTTCCCCCACGACACGGGGACAGTCGGAGGACCTCAGTCGCGAGGTTGTTGTGGGCTCTAAGGGGGATTGTGTTTATGAAACGCTTCCCGTGCTGCACGGCACGTAGCCTGCGCCGGCACCACACGCTGGGCCACGCGGTCTGGCCTGCGGAATAAACGGACCCCCATAGGAATCCCCGCAATGACAGAGATGTGTGTGACCTGCATTGACCCGGATAGGGCGCTAACCACTATGAATAACCGGGCGTGTGAAATGTGGTTAGTGTGTCTGAGGAGCGGAGTTTCCCGTTTTATCTCCTCTCACTGAGTTGCAATCGCCACGCGCGGCTTGTGGCTACCCACGCAGGACAGCACAGGTCCAAGGGGTCTACTCGGAAACAATGGATCCAGACTTTCCATCTAGAGAAAACTTCCCAATCCCCGGGGCTCACCTCCAAAATGAAGGGCTCACCTCTCAGCGTGAGGGCATGGGAACCGTAGGAAAAGAAGATTCTGGAGCTTCTATTTGTAAGTATTACCATCTAGGCATCCTTATGTTGGTTGTTTTTGTGCCCAGTACATTGGTGGCATATGTGAATGAACAATTATGCGCTTATTCGTGAGTGCAGGCTCAAAACTTGTTCTTGACAGAAACGTGCAACTGGCAGACCAGCAAGCTAGTCTAGCGCCCCCATGCTGCAGGTGAAAGAACTGTGAGACGCGCGGGCCAGGTGGCCAGCGGGGAGCTAGACTGTTCATCAAGGGCTCTGAACCGAGGAGCAGAGGTTGCCGTCCGTGGGCAGCTCACTGAAAGGGCCTTTGCCCCGTTCTAGCCGCCCCGTCAAGCCACAAGGGCTCGGACCCATTATAAAGCTCGGTTCACAGGAATCTGATTCCCACAGCACCCTCCAGGACCACCTGGCTGGGGAGCGTGGCCAGGTGACCTGCTTGGCCACGTTCCCCTCTCCTTTGTCTGAGCCTCTGCCGACACCGTGCCGCAGTCCCGTGATGGCCGGGTGCTGGCAGAGTTTTAAATCCGCTCTGCAGAACGGACGCAGTGTCCTCTCGGCACCGATTTGGACGGCAGCAGCGGCGCGAAAGTGACTTTCTGTTCGTCCCTCCGGGCTCCGGGCTCGGGAGAGGTTCCCCGTGCAGGGCACGGCTGCTCCCTCGGCCCCGGGCAGGAGGCGACCTTCCCCGGGGTGCCCGCCTCGCTCTCTGAAGCAGTCCCTGCCTGTCAGCACGCCCAGATCGCGGGCCCCTGAGACCGCTCTCCGAGCCAGGGTGGGAAGCACCAGGGCTGGGGTTTGATCCTCTCGGAGCCGTGAACCGGTCGGGCCAAGAAGGACCTCCAAGTGCAGAGACAAAGGGAGGAAGGAGGGAACTCTCGCTGCCGCGGTCACCTTTGTCCCCGTGTCGGCGGGTGACTGCCACAAGTCAGCACGCGTTGAGAACGGCACGGTGTCAGCTGCAGGGAGGTTTTGCTTTTGGAAAAGGGACACACAAAGCATTCCACTCAGTGACAGCAGCTAGGAGCCTCCTGCGAGAGGCCGGGCCCTGAATTCAGATCTCGTCAGGGTGGAGTTTGGACCCTTTGCCCTTGTGGGGCGTCCAAGCGGGTCTTGGCGTTGCCTCAAAGCGGTGTTTTTCTTCGCCGAGGGTGGAGTCTGTGGCATTCCCTCCTGGGTTCCCCCATTCTCGTGCAGCCCCTCCGGAAACAGTGTGCCCGCCAGGAATGGGCAGCCAGGGTGGGGCAGGGCCTGCATGCTCACTGTCCCTGGCAGCGGTCCCCTGGGCAGCCACAGTGCCTCTCACCTCCCCCGGGGCTGCAGGCCCATGCCTGGCCACGGGGGTGCCGGCCACCGGTGACTCATGCTAGCCCCCTTCTCCGGGGAACTGCCCTCGGCAGCCGGGAACGCGGGCCCTTGGGCTCTGAGCAGGAGAGCCTCCCAACGGGGTCAGGCAGGACGGGACACCCAGCACCGCATCTCTTGGTGCTTCCCGCGCCCCGTTTCCGGCGCGCACCCTTAGCAGCTGCTCCCTCCGTACACATCCCTCCTGTGGCGATGCCCACCCCAGCCTCTGCCTCTGGGGAGCCCTACTTCAGACGGGATTCCAGCGTCTCCTCCCTCCCCCGCTCCCCTTGCAACTTCCGTTCACCTGCACGCCCCGGAGACGCCCTCCCTGCACGGGCATCCGCCTCCCCACGCTGTCGCTCCCCACGTCACGTTGGGCCACAGAGACGTCCTTTTTCTCGCGTTGTTCTTGCTCGGGGCTGTGTTTGTGAGATCCATCTAGATGACCGTGACTGTGCAGTGCCCTACTTTCAAAACAAGGACCAAACAGCGAGCTCCATGTTGGGTCCAGGTTTTAAATCCGGGGTCGGCCCAGCAGGTCCTACGGTTTTTTTTCCGTGAGAGAGCGCTTGGTTGTCTTTACCTTCACTCGAAACAATTTTGCTAGACTGTATTGTGGCAGCTGCCGTGTCAGTGTGCATTTTCAAAAAACATCAACGTCGGTGAATTTTGGTGTAGCCACTTTAATATTGAAGAGGGACGAAAATAGGCAACATGTTCAGCATATTGTTTTATTTCTAGAAAGGAAAACGCAACTGAAATGTAAAAAAAGATTTGTGCAGAGTATGGAGAAGGTGCTGGGATTGATGGAACGTGTCCACAGTGGTCTGTGGAGTTTCGCGCTGGAGATTTCTCACTGGGCGATGATGACCCATGGCTGGGTGGACCCGTTGAAGTTGACAGCGATCAAATCAAGACATTAACTGAGAACAGTCAACATTATCCCACGTAGGAGAGAACCAACATACTCAAAATATCCAAATATTAATGAAGTCATTGGTGAAAATTAAAAATGTGTCTTTTATTTTACGGGAAAAGTCATACGACCTTTTTGGCCAACCCAGTACAACTGCTACACTCAGCACACCCACCACCATCTCGGTCTCCCTCTGCGGGCCCTCTTGGAAGAGCCTACCTTATTGACAGAGGTGCAAGACCAGCACAACCTCTTGGGGTTTTTTTAAGTGTATTTCATTGATTATACTATTACAGTTGTCCCTATTTTCCTCCCCTTTCTCCCCTCTGCTCTGCATCCCTCTCCCACCAGCATGCCCCCCCTTAGTTCATGCCCGTGGGGAGTGCATGTAAGTTCTTCGGCTTCTCCATTTCCTCTACTGCTCTTACCCTCCCTCTGTCTATTTTGTACCTACCATTTATGCTTCTTATCCCCGGTACCTTTCCCCCATTCTCTCCCTCCTTCCCGCTGCTGCTAACCCTTCGTGTGATCTCCACTTCTGTGGTTTTGTTCCTGTTTCTGTTTTGCCTTGGTGTGTGCTTCCCTGGGTCCAACTTCTCTGGGACTCTCTGAGCTTCCTAGACTTCCTGGAAGTCTATTTCCTTTGCCACTTTGGAAAAGTTCTCCTTCATTATTTGTTCAAAGTAGTTTTCAACTTCTTGCTCTTCCTTTTCTTCTTCTGGCACCCCTATGATTCGGCTGTTAGAACTTTTAAAGTTGTCCCAGAAGTTCCTACGCCTCTCCTCATTTTTTGAATTCTTGTTTCTTCATTCTGTTCCAGTTGAATGTTTATTTCTTCCTTCTGTTCCAAATCGTTGATTTGAGTCCCGGATTCCTTCCCTTCACTGTTGGTTCCCTGTGCATTTTCCTTTACTTCACTTTTCATAGCCTTCACTCTTTCTTCTATTTTGTGACCATACTCAACCATTTCGGTGAGCATTCTGATTACCCATATTTTGAACTCGGCTTTTGACAGATTGAGTTTGTTTTCATTGCTTAGTTGTATTTTTGGAGTTTTGATCTGTTCTTTCACTTGGGCCATAGTTCTTCGTCTTGGCACACCTGTTACATTTTAAGGGGTAGAGCCTAAGGTATTCACCAGGGCAGGGCGACCTATCTCTCTGTGTTGTGGTGCTGTGTGCGGGGGAGGGGTCAGAGAGGGAACACTGCCGCTCGCTCAGCTCTCGGCTGGCTTTCAGTCACTTCCCCGGCTCCCCACAAGCAAACTGGGCCCTCCTGGTGCTGATCCCTGGGTGGGTGGGCTCGTGTACATTCGAGGAGCCTGTGGGTCTCTCCTGTGAGGCTGGGAGTTTCTCCTGCCACTGCAGCCCCCACAGGTTTTCACAGTCAGAGGTTCTAAGGCTTTATTCCCCTGTGCGAGAACCCTGGGCTGCGTGGTCTGTCCTGCTCCCCAGCTGTTGGTCCTGGTTCATCAGCACGTGAGTGTGGGGCCACCAGCTGCTGCCGTGGCCGCCTGGCCCTCCAGGCACTGCCTCGCCACGCGTCCTCCCCACCCCAGCTGCTTGCTCCATCCCTCCTGCCGGTCTGGATGAATGTTTCTTCTCCTCGGTTGTTGGGCTTCCATATAGTTCGATTTCCTGGCAGTCCTGGTCATTTTTTTGTTTTTGAATTTGTTGTTCTTCTTCTTTTGGTTGTGCGAGGAGGCACAGTGTATCTACCTACACCTCCATCTTCCCCCACAATCTCTTTGTTTATAGGCCTCATGGGGGAACGAGCAGAAACAACCTTCTCACACACCTCAGGTACATCAGGGACCCTGATGCTGGCCGGCCAAGGTCAAGACCTCAGGGAGCACTAGGGTTGACCAGGGTCCAATGGGAAGCTCACGGAAGGAGCAGGGTGAGACTTTTGTCCTGTATCTCCATGCTCGCCGAAAGCCACTGGCCACCATGCCTCCTCAGCCCCACGCCGCCCTCCTCCAGGAAGGGGGTGTCCCTCACACGTCCACCTGACCCCCTCGCTGTCCTCTCCTGGCCCCACAGGGAAAGCG